CTCCCCCACACTCAGCCAGGGGCAAAGCACTTCCAAGGTAAACCAATGTAAGTATGTGCTGCAGTATGCTTACTTAATAGCACTGCAAAACTCTACTTGGTGAAACAGCTGAGAGGAGTTTAAGGAAAGATTTATAAAGCAATAGAAAAAATCAATTGCAGGCTCCAATTGTGGGCTCTCTTTCATAACCCGAGAACAAAGAAACATCTAATGAGATTGAAAGCAATGCACGCAACACAATAACTGACCAAGATAAATAATTATTGTATACAACTAGATTTAATCTCTGGAACACCATGTTGCAGGCTACTGTTGAGATCTAAAGCTTAGTATTTCAACAGGAAGACTCAGTTCCTCTGTAGGACACTAAAATTATAGAGTATCCCTTATCCAAAACAATTGAATTTCCAAAGCAAACACAAGCTCTGCCCAAGTATCACCACATAACTTGCTATAGAGCAGAATTGGTCAAAGCCTCCCTACAATCACCAAGAGAACTAAATAGCTTTGGCACTCATGTCATACAGAAAAGCAAATTCGTCCAACACAAATCCAAACACAAAAGAACAAGTGCCTTATTACTCTGAGGACAAAAGAAATTATCAAAATAACAAAACTGTGTCACTGGAACAGAAAGTAAAACAGAATTCACCTCAAACACACACACACAAACCAAGAAAGTCCTCCAATTATCACCAGAGAAAGACAAAAATTGAAAAACAAAACAAGCAAACAACAGTTTTAGTACACCCTATACTTGGGAATCATGAAAAGTAGCTACCATTGCTTCCTTTTCTACTTTGTTATTTCTTAGAGTCTCTCAAGAGACAGGGCCAAACCCACAGCCAGAGGCAGGAGCTATGCCAGCTGCTACTATCACTTCAATGTATATTGGAAACACCGGTGAGATGAGGATAATTAAGGGCACGTACAAGCTCTGTAGGAACCCTAGCATGACTATCAGCAGCAACAAGCAGGAAAGAGGCATATTGAAAAGTAGAAGTTACTGGTAACAAATCAAAATTACCTTGGTTCAAAACACTCCGGATAACAGAGACCATCTCTTAATAGTTGTAATTTCTTCTTTCACAGATTGACATTTTTAGAGTTTACCAGCTGGTTTCAACAAAGCCAAGTCAGTCTTGACTGGCGTTACATCACAGGCTAGCCAAGATTTATTTACAATAGGTCAACCATTAAAAAGAACTATTTTCAAATTACAATAATCTAATTTTATAGATGTAGTGTCTAATAGACCCACAGGAAGATAGGCAAAATTCCCAGACTGCTAAGCATACCCTCTCAACTTAACCCTGGTTAAGTTTGCATCTACAACATTAATGTAGATGTCTCGAGAATTATTTGTATCCCATACCAAGCACAGACTGCAAAAACTCAAATTTTCAGTCATTACTACTTTTTTTTTTTTTTATTCCAATCAGTTAACATTCCTTTTAATAGGAAGAGTCAAAAGTCATTTTTGCTCTTTATGTCCAGCATTCTGAAATCAAATTTTGTGGAACAAACTCAAACAAAACGGGAAATGGTTTGCAGCCTACACCAATCTGACTTCACATTGTGGCAGTTGCAAATGAACTATAAAGCAAGATGCCTTTCAGTTCTTAACCATAGGCTGTTTTTCATCAAGAAGCTCAAAGATTACAAATCATAATTCATAATTTTAGTTTCAAACATATTTTCATTTCTTCAAAACTTGCCATTTCCTGCACATCCTTTTAGATGGGTGACAACAATTCCTTCAGGAAACAGTGAAGGCACACAAAAAAGCCCACTTGTCCACTTCCCTGACTGTTTTTTGCCACAAAGCCCCGCAAATAAATAAATACATCAGTAAAAAGGACGGTCTTTCTGGCAACATACGCAGTAAGTATTCCTTATGTAGTAAGAGTTTAAAGAATTATTAACAAAGAGGAACCTCACGTTGTATTACAAGTGGATCAGAAAGGCTGCATTTGTATTCAAGAGCAAAAATACAATCACAACAACAAAAAGATGTAGGCTTTACAGGAAAATACTGCTTACAACATATTCAATGATTCCTTTCTCAGGCTACAAAAAAAAAAAAAAAGCTCTAGACTTCTGAAAATTCCCTCCTTTTAGTTTCTCTTTTTAAAAAATTCTCACTTGCTATTTTTTGGCACAAGCTCTAAAAATTTCCAGCCAAAGAACTATTCTAGACCACAGCTCTATTTCAGATATATTTTCCTTTAAAATAAAAAGACATAAATGAAATTGATTTTCAGGAGACAAAGCCCTTAATAAACCATCAGTGAAGTTCTTCTCAAATCAATAGCATCCTTTCCTATCAAGCTTCTTCACAAATTCTATCAATCAAAACCAAAAAAGAATTCTAGGATCATATATATAAACTTATATTTGACAATCATTTCATTAAAAAACAACCCCCCCCTCAAAAAAAAAAAAACCACCATCTATTATGATTTGGTCTCAGCATATCCTGCAAACTAAGCGCCTGTTCCTGAATTTCAGTGAAAGTACTCACACAGCAGAAATATAAGAATTCAATTATTCTTGTCTTACTTATTAAAAATGCTTACCCCAAGTACTAAATATATGCCACAGGCAGCAATTGATCTTACAGCACTTCAGTTAAGTCTGCAATATATTTAACACATAAAGGAGCACAGTTTCATCATGTAGAGAAGGATTCAGTGTTAGTAGGTAGCAGCTGCCAGCACTTGGATACTCTTATTAGAAATGGTTTAGGCAGTTTATACACAGAGCATTGATGTGCCTTCTGGTTCAGGCATCAGTAGCGAGATCAAGCACTTGAATCACTCTGTGAAAGGCACCTTAAAATAGAGCTGGGGTCTGAGATCACTTTTATCACTGTAAATGCAGAGCAATTTCATTGACTCTTATGATAAAAGTCAATGTGCTGGATTTACTTCCAGGTGCCACTAACACAGTCCAGGAGAGACAAGAGCGACACACACCAACCAACAAAAAAATGAGCAAATATGAGTATTATTTGTAAAGGCAGATTGGTGTAACCCATACAAAGAGACAAAAGCAATTAATCTTTTACACATGGAAAAAAGAAAATCCTGGTTTTCCATAGCACTGTACTTCATTCTCACTCTGAATTTTTTTTGTTTGAAGAATACAAAGTGAAGAAGATTAGGTTGTTCCTTGACTAGGCCTATGAAGCTACCCAGAACAAAATGGGAGCCATTAGTTGATACAACTAAGAGGAAAACATGGTGCAGCAGTTGTTGCGCATGGTGAAGTCGTGTGCAGCACATTGAAGCCAATGAGCAGAAAGACTTTCCCCTCATCTGACCTAGTTCTGTCAAAGATTCACACATGGAGATAGTGGGTGTAGAGGTGACACATGCAGTATCTTTAAACATTTTGGAAGACAACCACTCACAGTGAAGAATACCTAAGACCCTGATAGAGAAAGAAAAGCTAGCTGAACTCTAGAAAATTCAGACAAGATATTAGAAGGCCACCCAGAACTGTAGGCATACAAGAAAGTGAACAGATTAGGGTCAAGCCATTTTACAACAAAAAAAAAAAAAACAATGCTGGGAAAAGTGCTAGAAGGATGGTTGGACAAAGCTACCTGATGTTACAAGTATGTCCTATTTGAAAGGTGCTACAAATTTAAAGAATCTCCTTTCCCCTCCCCCATCTTTTTTATATTATTATTTTTCCAAGCAGGATGTAAAAAATATTGTAAAAGTCCAGTATAATTGCAAAATCATAAACCAGTTTGCTGGATTGTGAATTGCTGCTGACTGCACTGTGCCAGGTGCAACATAGAAAGGCACAGTCTCAAAGGGCTTTCACACAAAATCAACAAAGAATAGCAGAAATAGGGAGAAAGGACTAAAAGAAATATTCATTTTTCATTAGCTTATTCTAAAAAAATAAATATAAATTATTTCCAACTTACTGTATACCCAGCCATTGGGAGCTGTGGAACAAGTTGCCCAGGGAAGGCTGTGGAGTTCATCCTTGGAGCTATGTAAAGTGCAACCGTGCACGACCCTGGGCAACCTGCTATAGCTGACCCTACTATGAGCAGGGGAATGGACTGGAGGATTCCCAGAGGCCCCTTCCCACTCCAGAAATTCCCTGAATGGATTTCTGAGAAGTTATTTAAGGATGACTGTTTTTCCACAAAGTTGACAAAGTGCTCTATCTACAGGTTAGAGCCTTGAAAAAAAGCAGAATACAATTCTGAATGAAGTCTACAAATGTTTGTTGAATCACCTTTACTGGTGGACAGAAGGGGACCTTGGACAATGTCATGTAGGAGAAGCACTGATCATCACTGATGAACAGATTCATGGATGACTAACAGTGAGGAGTGGCAAAATGTAATTCACAGTCTGAAAATGAAAGGTCAAGAAAAAAATCTAGTTGCCTACTTACATCTAAAGTTAGAAGTTACACACCACAGTGGCAGGTGTCTGAGGCAAATCTTAATTCAACATAGTCAATACTCCAGTCTTTCTTGCTATATCACTGATTTTCTTCACAGTTCCTAGGCAAGCCACTCTGCCAATTAGGGGAGGGCAAAAAAACAGGAATATATAAAAGGTCCCTCTATAGAAGAGGAACAGCAGGTGTTAGGTCAAAAGTGATCAGTGACCTACCTAGAGAAAGAAAAAAAGCTTTTGATGAAAGAAAGACATGGCAGAATTGGGAACTATGTGAGCCACCTCAGTACTCATTTACTGAAATTTAATGGGCTTTGAACCACGCTTACAAAATAATTGCACTAACACTAGGGTCTTGCTCAAAACATACCACAAAAAATAACTCCAAGCAGTGTGCTTTATTTTGTCAAACCAATCTCCAAACCAGGAGCTCAAAACAAGAAACCATTTCTTCCTCTGTTACCTACTCTTCCCAATTACACCACAGGACTATGGTAATTACTACATGCCATTATGTAACACATACATGTTCTCGTCCACCCCAAAAGAGAAGTTTTGTTTTGTTACCTCTTACCGACAGTTATTTTGACAGTTCTTTTCTGAGAGTCCATCCTCATCTTCTCCCATAATATCCACTGCCGAAAATATCAGTGCAACCAGAATTGCAAAGCAGCATACCAGTGCAAAGATCACAATGCATCTTTGCTGGGACTGAAAGAGATTAAGATTAAAAAAATTTTAATGGCATGAATTCATTCCAGTCAGTGACCTGAGACTCTAAATCTTTTACATAAGATATAAAATTCTTTGAAGACTTTACTGCCATAGCTGTCAACATGAAACACACCTCAGGCTGAAAACATTCTCAAAACTGTCCTTCAGGTATCACCTTGAGATGTATTTTAAAATTCTCAGCCATTGTTAAATAATTCATGTCACAAATAACATTCATAATTTAAACTGTTTTCCTGTTTGTACCACAAGGAAAACATTAGACATTAAAATAATTATTTTTACATTATCAACAAATTTTCTGATTGTGCCTCACAGGTAAAGTACACAGGATGGCACTCAAAAGCCTTGAGAGTTTTATTGTGTTTGGCTGAAATAAAACATGTCATTGCAAGAAAACTGAAGAGCAAAGTCTTTTTTTAATTGCTACACAAAGTAACTGACATTGTTTCTACCATTGTCACAGTGACTGAGACACTTTGGCAAGTCCTTGCTCCACGGTACTTATAATATAAGGAAAACAAATTCACAGATAATAGATGGGATTCAAGGCAACAATTGGAGGCTGTTGCTCAGTGTGCTAGGCAACGCTCTCAGCAGCTCAGATTAAATATTAAAACATCACATACCACTACGTTATTCTACACTATGAAATCCTGCAGTACTAAATCAGACACAACTGTGGACAGCCCTAGATAAACGTGAAACTTCCTAAAGACAATCTCCTGACATGGAATTTACATAGCTGCATGAATGTAAAGCACATTTTATTTTGAAACTAAATGTTCAAACAAATATAACGCGTATTTTTCTACTGAAGAAAATTTGCACAAAACCACACACATATATAAAAATGTAAAAGTCTAACTTCTGTTGCCATAGTTATTTTCTTAATTTTCATTATTGCCTTGTAATTAAAATGTCACATAAAGAAAAAATGCTTTATAAAGGAATGGAGATGTATATGAGAAAGCAGGAAAAGTGTAAGGGAAAGGAAGCACGGTCATGCTTGCAGCTGAAAATCAACTTCATAGTATTTCCATTGCTCCTGACATTTTGTTTAAGAGCTTTTAAGTTTCAGAGTAATAAGAATGTTTTCCCTTATGCATAAAGAAAAGGCCTGACTTTTTTTTTTTTTTAATAAGTCTCCAAAACCTCCAAGCCAGTGCACATCCCAGAATAAAAAAGCTCGTGCATTTCAGAACAAATCAGATGTAAGCATTTTATTTCAGTCTATGAAAACCCAAAACACAGCAAACAACTTCTTCAGACAAACAGGAAAAACTTTTCTGAAATTTAGTGACAAATGTATCCTTTCACCTAACAGAAACACTGAATATGCTGCTTAGGTTTTATATGTTTTTAAATATAATGCACATTAGGCACTTTTATACATTCCAAATATATGTTTAAATCTGTGTTTACTAACATATTACCCAAAATCTTACAAGAATGCAGCACAAGAAAGTCTTCAACCATTTACAAAGCCTATTCCTAAAATAAATAGAATTTGGATCTTTTTTCCTTCTGCTAGGTATAAGTATGGCAACAGATGAAAAGAATTAAAAATTCCTGCATTTGGGTGTCCAGAACTAAGGCTGCAGTCAGACGCACAGTAGGACTTGAGAGAAAAATGTTAAAACATTGCCTCATACTACGGGGGCAAGAAAAACTAAGAAGTGACAAAGATAAAGAGGTATTCAGATCTGGGACACTGCTTTATGCCATTTCTTCATCAGGATGGCTCACACACTTGCTAAGATGACCATTGCCTCATGCAGTTTTTTACAGTTCTGTAAGTGTATTTGCAGAAACTATTTGATGCAGCTTCTTCCAAGCACTGGGCATATCACCATAGCAGCAAGATAGCAAAGCTCCTCCCATACCAGCAAGCCAAATGGAGCCAGGGCTCTTTCTCTAGCCCTTAAGAGCAGGGGATGTAACCCAGCACGATTTGCAACACTAGTGTTCTTTCCCCTCACAAACCAGGAGCACTGCAGCCATTCTACTCACTGGGAGCAGTCCTGAGGCCATATCTTGGGCAAATTTGTAGCAACAAGCATCCTAGCTACCACACAGAATAAACGACTGCATGCTATTGCTCCAGTTCTTGCTGTTCTGCCACACAAGCAGCAGAACAGATACAGAGAGTTGCAGAGTCACTGGACCAGCAGGGACCACACAGTAGCTTTCAAGGCTGGGCCAGCACACATGGAGATAGCAAGAGATGTTTCATTAAAAGGAACCCGCAGTACCCCTGACTTACGACACCTTGTAATTCATAAGACAGCTCTATAAACCTTTTAAACAATTTAAAACTTAAAGAGCAAAAGCTATATAGTATCTTCAGTGTATCAAAAATTATATGGTATCATAATAGGGAGGGAAAAAAACCTCAAAGAAAACCCCAAGTACAACAGTTTTATAGTAGGAATTTCTAGGTGGTTACGTTCAAGGAATATGGAAAGGGGAGGCCAAAAGGAGGAAGTCTTTCTTTCAGTTCTGCATGTGTACAGTTTGTAAAGCTCTGGAGTTTCACTGACTGCTTCTCACTATGAGAAGCACAAAGTTAGTACCACTAATAAAATCACTAATTTACTGCTCTTGTTTACATTCTTTATATTATACATTTGTCTTTGACAATTATAATGGATTAGTTATTTCACTTTTTCTTAAGTATCAGCTTAACACTATGGTTACAAATAATGTAAGGGATCTTTTTAAGTCCACACACACACACACACACACAAAAAAAAGAACCACCGTATCAAACTGTGACAATAGTATTTTTGATTTGAACTGAAGATAGCACAAAATACTAAATTAAATGAAGCAAAAATTTCAAGTTTATGATTCTCCTAGCCCTAACATTTTTAATCACAGGGCTGAAGGGTCAGATAAAGACCATTTAAACAATTTATACAGTTAGTAAGGAGGATTTTGAATGGTTTTACAGTTCATCTTGAAATTACTCCTGTTGAGTGGTGATTTTTTGATTGCTTTTACATCTATATATTACATTAGAAATGAATATTTGAATATTGCCTATATTCAAACTGATGCTTATACTAGAAAACAAAGAAAAAAAAAAAAGCTACTGGCACCAAACAAGTCTTCTGAGCCTTTCTTATGACAATGGTAACAAATCTTAATTTTCATGCACTAATGACATACTGTGGGTATTTTCTAATAGGATTTTTCTAATTAAAATACATCAGAACAGGCCATGTCACTGTTCTTTTATACCACCCATAAGGGTGTGTGTATGTGTGTGTGCATGTGCGAGCAATAGGCTTCTTGAAAGAATTCAAAATAGAAGAGCTCAAGTTATAGACAGACTAGAAGGAATGTGTTATATTTGCTCTTCAGACACCTGCGTCAGTTGGCTTGGGCAGACTGCTTAATGCTATGTTGTTGTGTGTCCCCTTGGCAGCTGGGATCCCTCAGACCTATCCTCCTGCTTTTCCTTCAGTAAATGCCTAAAAGCCCTCTGTGTTTAAGCTTTCAGTCTTCAACACTTAATTACAGAATACAGGCTCAGGAGGGATCTCTAAAGTTTATATAGTCCATCTGTCCATATACATGGTTAATTTATTTAAATATTACTTCTAACAGATATTTGTCTAACCTGGCCCTAAAAATCTCCAGTTGAAAGAGATTCTGCAGTCTCTTCAGGCAATCCTATCCCACATTTTAGTACCTTACTAATGCCTAACTTGACTCTCTTATGCTGCAATATACTTTTTTTCCTTCTCATACTTGCTGAAAACGGAGAACAGAGTATTTCATTTTTTCCTGCTGCAGTCTCATATATTTGAAGACTGCTAGAGATGGTAAAGGGTCTGGGGCTAGAGCATTTACTAGCTTGACTGGACCTGTCAGAGGACAACCATGGCTGAGATTTCACTCTTAACAGTGTGGAGATCTCTCTCAACTGTAAGCCCAGAAATTCTGTTCCTTGAGAGAAAGATTTCTTCAGAGCTTATGGAAGATTGGTAAAGAAACTCCTGCAGGAACAAGGACTACAAAAAATGCTGCAATTTTCCATTTCATGAGCAAAATGCATTTCTTTCACCTGTCTCATCTGGCTTAAACAATGCCTATGTTAAATCCACCAAATATTGCATTTACTAAAACAAAGTATTTTTCATGCTGTTATACCCCTAAGTAGAGACTGAGAAAAAGAGCAAAAGCCACACAATGGGTGTATACTACAGTACTGCTCAGACTAGATTTTAATCTGAGAAGGACTCTATCTGTTTATTTATTATTAAGAAAAAGGATAGTCTATGTCAGTTCATGTTGCATCAGAGCCTGTGATACCCAAACAGAATTGAAAATGAGAGCAAGAAAGAAAAAGGCCTCCATTTTTACTGCACCCCCATTGTTCAAAACCTGTTAAGAACACTTCAATGGCCCATAAAGCTTTCAGTTTCTTCGCAAACAACAGGTATCTCTGTACACACTAAATTTAATCAGGAATTTACTTTTCCCTTAATAAAGTACAAAAATGTCCTCTCCCCAAACAGGAGCCATGAAATTGCAGTGCTGCATCTACTGAGAAAACTGAGCACATAACAACAAAACATGTCATAGCTTTGAACTAGCGCTTCATTTTTATAACTATTTAAAGAATAAAGGAGGTAATATTTATACAACATACTAATACAGAATTCATATCTGCTTATCAGAACCACAGGGGCTCTAAGAGGTAGGTTTTCACATCTTCTGTCATACCACTAGTCTGCTCTTCCCTGCAACATATGTCTGAACACCAGTATGAGAACAAAAGCACTCATCTTCAACACTAGCAACCTGTTCAACAGCTCTTAAAATTCTGCTTACAAGTGGGGTTTTATGGCATGCTACAGTATATTTTCCAAAGATAGCAAATCTGAACTCCAAGAGTTAGCAATCATTCTTGGATTGACCTTGGTTCTTAAAATCATTATGTGTGTTTATTAGGGAAAAGCATTACTATAAAGACTGTTTTCCATTAAT